ACAGGAAACAGATCAGGGAGCAGAGACCCACGTGGTTCACGCTGATCTCAGCTACGATCCAGGAGACAAGGGTGGGCAGATCAATGCAGATATCGATCAGGACGTTGGTAGTGGTTTATGATCGATGCTTTAGTTTGTTTCTCTCCTCTAAGTTCACTACTTTACTCCCGTTTCATGAAAAAGCAGCTCTCTCTGCTCGACTCCTCTCCTGCGCACACACTTTGCTCCGCCCCCTTCTTCCTGATCTGCTTTGATTCGATGCTGTTTGGACACGTGACTCGAAAAAGAGGCCGAGCCTGTTTTTTTAAAATGAACTTTTTTTGTCAACAACAATATAAACATATAAGGCACTATTATTTATCCATGCATCTAAATATAAACGGTTGAGCATTACAACAAGAGAAATAACAAAAGAAAGAAAGAAAAAGATGCAGAATGTGAGAACATAGACACAAACAGTGTGAACAGAAAGGGAAATCATGATCCACATCTCAGATAGAGAGGAGGCCTCCTTTTAACATAAATAGAACTTATTGAATAGAAATATAAGTTTAGGGGCTTTCTTTTCATTTATGTGTTTCAGCGACTTACTCGAGAGTTTAAAATCATCCAGCCATCTGTTTACACATGGTTTAGCTTGAAATGTCTGCATTTGTGAATAAAACTTTCCCAGTAACAAGACAGTCCCAATCACCAAGTCTAACTTTGGGTTCTCAGCAACCATCCCAAATTTAACTACAGTCAAATGTGGTAACTGAATCCCCCTGGACTGTAGCCAGCTCCACATGTCAGTCCAAAAGGAGTGCACTGATTCACAATAGAAAAACAAGTGATCCAAACTTTCAATGTCATTTTCAGAGAATCCACAGGTGTTTGCATGTGGGTTAAATTTCAGTTAATCTGTTGGGTTAATCTCATTTATGACTTTAAAATTAACCTGTTTTTCTTTACTGGGAAGGGGAAGTAAAATACACTTTCTTCGTATCAGTTTAACTTCCATAGCCTCAAATTCTTTTAGAATATAATTTCCTTTAACCAGTTTATGGAAATGTTATCAAAAATCTGATCTCTCTAAACCTGCTGCCACCAAAGTCAACACCAGCTGTCCAGAGCTGTCTCAGTCCAGGAGGATTTTTAGAGTGCACAATGTCTTCTTTAATCATTGATTTCAAAGGGACTGGGATGGCTTTTGTTAGTGTTTTATAACTCTTAGCAGCACCTTACGTCAAACTTACATCTCATGTTAATAAAACCCCATTTCAGGGCGTTATTTCTTGTCCATACACAAATGTTAAGTTAGGTAAGGGTTAAAAGATCAAGATCGTATATTAAAAATAAATCTCCCACTCGCCACTGTGGGTGCTCAATCCTTCAAGCTCGGGTCCTCTACCAGAGGCCTGGGAGTTTGAGGGTCCTGCGCAGTATCTTAGCTGTTCCCAGGACTGCGCTCTTCTGGACAGAGATCTCCGATGTTGTTCCCGGGATCTGGTGGAGCCACTCGCCTAGCTTGGGAGTCACCGCACCTAGTGCTCCGATTACCACGGGGACCACCGTTACCTTCACCCTCCACATCCTCTCGAGCTCTTCTCTGAGCCCTTGGTATTTCTCCAGCTTCTCGTGTTCCTTCTTCCTGATATTGCTGTCATTCGGAACCGCTACATCGATCACTACGGCCGTCTTCTTCTGTTTGTCTACCACCACTATGTCCGGTTGGTTAGCCACCACCATTTTGTCCGTCTGTATCTGGAAGTCCCACAGGATCTTAGCTCGGTCATTCTCCACCACCCTTGGGGGCATCTCCCATTTTGACCTCGGGACTTCCAGACTACTCGGCACAGATGTTCCTGTACACCAGTGGTTCCCAAATGTTTTTTTGCAAGGCCCCCCTTTGTTTTACAAGACAAATGTTCATACTGCACAGCAGAGGTTCCCAAAGTGTGGGGCCTGCCCCCTAGGGGGGGCGCAGAGCCATTGCAGGGAGGGCGCGGCATGAAAAGAAAAAAGAAAGAACTCTTGGACACTGCTAGCATAATTGACAGGTTTTTGACGGGGCTCCCACAGAAACGCAAAGCAGGAGATGAAGCGTCGCTGAATATGTTTCCAAACCAACTTCATTCTAAGCCAAAGACTAGAAAATATGGTGAAGCAAATCTTCCCTTTGGCTTCACCTGCACAAGTGCCGAGGTAGGTCTCCCTGCAGAATTAGTTTCCCTGTGTCGGGAGCAGCGCTGGGCTGTTTAAATCACAGACAAACAGGATCCCACAGCTGTTTATGTTTTTGAACCCATTTTGCACAGAGAGGCATTTTTTGAAAAATGTATTGACAGCAATGTTGAACATTATTACACAGGAAAAAAAACAGCACGTAAAATAATTACACCGTGATGCCTCTGCCTTTGTAAATGGAGGGACAGTAACTGTGTGTATGTAAGCCTGTAAAACCTGAAGATAGTCAGAACATTTTTCTTGTAAAACAAAGGAGCAAAAAACGTTTGGGAACCACTGGAGAAAGGTGAATGTCTGTGAGCACACTGATGTAACATCACTTAAAAAAGATTTGGACACAAGACAGATACAGGGACACAAACATGAGGACACTAATCACATCACACAGAGACAGATCGGAGGAGAAGGACAAAAGAAACAAACAAACCAGAAAACAAGAATTACAAGAATCGCAGTGACACGGGAAAATAACAGGACATACATATCTGTACTTTCATAGAAATAACAAACAAGTCCAGAACAAAACTGAAAATACTGAGTGAAAGATCAGGACAAACAGACAGTAACAGACAACAGAGCGTCAATCATTCAATAAAAGTGAACTACAAGGTTAAAGAAAACAAACTTAAGTTTACAGGAGCAAAACTGGAGCTTTAAAAGCATTTTAATGAACTAAAAACTTTTATTATGATGGTCCAGCCATGAGTGACACCCTGATGAAAGCTTGTATGAAGCTAGATGTTAAACATGAACCTCCTGATATATTTGTTTATTTTAACCATTGTGTACAGTGCTTTGTGACTGCCTGTTTATGAAAAGTGCTTAATAAATAAATGGCCTGTATTTATATAGCGCTTTACTAGTCCCTAAGGACCCCAAAGCGCTTTACATATCCAGTCATCCACCCATTCACACACTGGTGATGGCAAGCTACATTGTAGCCACAGCCACCCTGGGGCGCACTGACAGAGGCGAGGCTGCCGGACACTGGCGCCACCGGGCCCTCTGACCACCACCAGTAGGCAACGGGTGAAGTGTCTTGCCCAAGGACACGACCGACCGAGACTGTCCAAGCCGGGGCTCGAACCGACAACCTTCCAATTATAAGGCGAACGCCCAACTCTTGAGCCACGATCGCCGAAATAAACTTTACTTTCTTACTAAAGCTTCAGCCCGCTCGCACCCTCAGCTCTCATCTAATGGTTTACCCCACAGCAGGGATATTTATAATTGAGCTAATTGTTATATTATAGCTGTTTGTCATATTTTGCGACTTTGTACTATATTGTATTATTTAATCCATTTTAGTCTGTTATTGTTCTTACTGTGTTGCAGCAAAAGGGATGAATAAAGTATTCTGATTCTGAAATTTTAGGTCAAGAGTCTGAAATACAAGAAGCGACATCGTGGCTCAAAGCTTTTATTTTCACACCAAACTGTTTTCATAAGATAAACTTCATACACGGTTTAGCATTTGCAGGATTTTCACAAAATTATTATTAGAGCATTTGTATTTATATAGCACATTTAATCATAACAGCAACGTTGACCAAAGTGCTGTACAGAAATAAAAAGTAACTCGTGCCAAATAACTTATAAAGTTGTGAAATAGATTCAGTAAACAGAAACAGAATAAAAACAGGAAAGGAAAAATCGACACGACACAGCTGAAGATCTAAAAATCTTTTTTCATGGTCTTGAAAATCAAACAGTTACAACAACTACATCTTCATCACCATCAGTTTTAAGAAGAAGAGCACCGGTTAACCTTTCAGATTTTGTCTTCAGCTGGAGAATCCAGTTTTTAAAAACAGCGGCGTGTACAGAGCCTCGACCCCACCAGTTGATAACAGAGGACATTTTTGGCATCTCTGCAGAATGATGAGTAACAGGCCGGCACCTCCACAAAGCTCCTTCCAATCTCATTTGCAGACACAAACAATATTCCAAGCAGCGTCTTTTACAGTGTTTTTTGAACCGTGAAGCCATGTTGTCAGATGCTGATATGGATAGTTTAAGAAATGCACACAAACCTTTATACACTAAAAAAGGGGGGAAAGTTTGAGGGAACAATTTACAAGTTTTTACACAAACGATTCAGTGCTTCTTTCTGGGCTGCTTGTGTCCCACCAACTAAAATGACTTTTATAGCACTGGTTTAACTGCAGAAAAGATTCATTATTATTTAACAAAGTCACCAAGTACTGAGCCATGGCTGACTAACAACATCCATCCATCTTCTGTTTATCCGGGGCCGGGTCGCGGGGGCAGCAGCCTAAGCAGAGAGGCCCAGACCTCCCTCTCCCCAGCCACCTCCTCCAGCTTATCCAGGGGAACACCAAGGCGTTCCCAGGCCAGCGGAGAGATATAATTTCTCCAGCGTGTCCTGGGTCTGCCTCGGGGCCTCCTCCCGGTGGGACATGCCTGGAACACCTCACCCAGGAGGCGCCCAGGGGGCATCCTTGTCAGATGCCCGAACCACCTCAGCTGGCTCCTTTCGATGTGGAGCAGCAGCGGCTCTACTCTGAGCCCCTCCCAAATGGCCGAACTTCTCACCCTATCTCTAAGGGAGAGGCCAGCCACCCTTCGGAGGAAGCTCATTTCCGCCGCTTGTATCCGCGATATCGTTCTTTTGGTCACTACCCACAGCTCGTGGCCATAGGTGAGAGCAGGGACGTAGATCGACCGGTAAATTGAGAGCTTCGCTTTTACACTCAGCTCCCTCTTCACCACGACGGACCGGTGCAGCGTCCGCATTACTGCAGCGTCCGCACCGATCCGTCTGTCGATCTCCCGCTCCCTTCTCCCATCACTCGTGAACAAGACCCCGAGATACATGTCCACACTTTATAATGACCTGTGACTGCTGCTGTCGTTCACTTCAACGTGTTTACATTCGTGACGGTAACGATTAATCGAGTGCGTGAAGCTTTTCTCACAATGTCTGCACTTGTATGGTTTCTCTCCTGTGTGGATTCGTTCATGCTTCTTCAGGTCACTTGCAGTGATGAAGGATGACCCGCACTGGTCACAGAGGTGCTTCCTAACCCCACTGTGGATCAGTTCATGGCGCTTTAATGCACTTGGCATGGGGAAGCTTTTCCCACACTCTCTGCAGTAGCTCAGTTTGAGTCCAGTGTGCCTGCGCTGATGCAGTTTCAGGCCCGATTTCTTCTTGAAAGTATTTCCACAAACGTCACATCGAAACGCTTTCCCAGCTCCGCAGTGATGGCAGGGTTCAGGACCGGATCCACTGGGTTCACTCTGCAAAAGACACAGTGACAGCTGTTGGTTAAATGGCAATATGCATTTCTCTATAAATACATAGTTTAAATAAGCTCATTCATCATTTTTTTCTTGAATGTAATGCAGCATACATTCAGTCAACATTACAAAATGGCAAACTGGCTTTACAGCGAATGACTTTGAGAGCAGCAGTGTCAGTGAAGGTGTCAAAACCCTGCAGATAAATACGGAGATATCCAAGTGACATTTTCAGGTCTGAAAGAAAAGATTGACTAAAATCAGTTCTTCTTCAGCATGATTTTTTTATAGCCAAATTTGTGCATCAGTACGAAGGGATACAAGATACGGTTACAGCGGAATTGCACCAACTTAATTTCTATGACGCAAAAGAACAGAAACCAGCATTGGATGATTGATCTGCTCCATCAGGAAAAACTTTGGAACAAAAGTTTGTGCTCATGGATTGTATGCAATTCAGAGACCTGTGACTCTGAAAATGTCCATATTATGAAGGAAAATTTGAAGTATTCTAAAGTCAGTGTTCGAAAAGAACAAAACAAATCAGCTCACGTTGAGGGGGTCAGGTAGGAGGCAATGACTGATTATCGGTCACATCATTATACTGTTGGTTAGTGCAATATTAAACTGTTGGAACAGATTTTCAGCAGATCTCAGTTCAGTTTCCAGCTATTGTAAAATAAAATTGAGAGCACAAAATTACTTTTTAAACATTTATTTTTGCTAAAGCGATTTGATGTTTTTCAGCTATAAATGAAATCAACCCATGTCCTTTCCTGCTATATCGAAAAATTTGTTTAGTTCAGCTCAAGTCAAGATCTAAAAACAGCGCAGTGTTTCATAACGCAGGACACTGGAGCAAAATCAGAGGTAAGACCAGTTTAAATGAATGGGATTTTTCTGGCCTTATTCTTTAGGGTAAAGTGAAGAGTTGAACCCAGGCCGGCTGCTCTCAGCCATGCAGTCGCCTCCTGATCCCAAACAAACAGAAATTATTTATTTGACTAAAATTCAACTTGAACACTTTTTTTCTTTTGGTTAAAGATGTAGAGTGTGAACTAGGGCAAAAAACATTTAAGACCCAACTTAAGTCAAGGTTGTGAAATGTTTCAAGAACCTGTGAAAGGATCATTCATGGTTTCAGCTGCATGCTGGGAGAGACGGACAATCAAAAACACCCAGCAGTCGAGGCCCAATTCCAACCACATGACATTATGTCACCGACCACGGCCACCAAACATTTGCAAACATGCTAACAAAATTTAACGAGCATAGAAATGGGAAAATATAAATACATACCTCACAGTAAGTGCACTTTCTGGTGTGGATCTGTTGGTGCACTTTCAGGTAATCTGGATCTTTATAAGCCTTTTCACACAGGTCACATTTATAAGGTCTCTCCTCAGTGTGGGTAAATTTGTGAATGTGTAAGTTGTAGTATGTGACAAAGCGTTTCCCACACTGGTCACAGCAGTACACATTATGTCCAGTGTGAATGCGTTGGTGTTTATTTAGGGTCCCCATCTGCCTGAAGGTTTTTCCACACATGTCACAGCTGTACGCCTTAACCGCAGAGTGGGTGAGTTGATGACTCTTTAACGTATACCTGCGAGCAAAGGTTCTCCCACACTGATCGCAGCTGTACGGTTTCACTCCGCTGTGGAGGAGCTTATGATTTTCCAAGCTCTGTTTCTTTGTAAAACACTTCCCGCACTGATCACAGCTGTATGCTTTAAGTCCGCTGTGGATGAGTTGATGATTTTTTAGGTCACTCTTCTGAGTAAAAGACTTTCCACACAAGTTGCATCTGAACGCTTTCACTCCGCTGTGGATGAGTCGGTGTCTTGTCAAATTTCCAGCCTTGGAAAAATACTTCCCACAAAACTCACACCTGAACGGACTCTCCCCGGTGTGGATGATTTGATGTCTTTTTAGGAAAATCTTTGCAGTAAAAGGCTTCCCGCACTCATCGCATCTGTATATTTTGTCGTCCTCTTTTCTGTGAGCTTCATCAGCCTCCTGAGGGCGCGGACTTCTCGGTGCCTGTTGGTCCTGCAGAGAGAGAGATACAAACAGAGGCAGTGAAAGGACAAACATAGAGAGACTGTGTTGTTGATTGTTGTTTGTTGTACACAGTACTACTTTTACTCTTTATAATGCTGCCATAACACAAAAGTTTGCCTTAGTGGGATCAATAAAGTTTCTATTTATTTATATATCCACTGTATTGACAACATCACAGCTTGGACAACCTTGAATGACGAGTTTGGTTAAAAGGTTTTTGCCTCAAGGAGGCAAAAGCCTGCCAGCCAGCCTGCTGTGCCCACACTCTCACTCTGCAGGAACACGCAATCTTGTGCTGACCAGCTTCCTGGTCGCAACTGACCATTGCAGTCTGTTTAAAGTTCTAAATCATCATCCCGGTGCCAAAGCAGCCAGCCCCTGACCAGTCGCTCTGAGGCCAAACTGGTTCTTCAGCACATTAAAGTGGCCTCCTTCGATCCACATCAACATGCATCCTGGGGTAAGAGACCCACTGAGGATGCTGTTGCTACAGCACACACTACACTGAGTCATCTGGTGCAAAGCGAGAACTACACGTGGGTCTTCTTCATCTTCAACACCACCCTCCAGACATCCTTACAAACAAGCAGCACCACCAGGGCTTCTCCACCCCATCTGCATCTGGATAAAAGACTTTCTTAAAAACTGTTCGACTCAGCACCGGTGTTGAGGTTAAGTTCTTTCTTTGGTGTATCGGCATGATTGAAGCCAAGAGGCTTCCACTTTAGCGATTTTGCGAGCCCTGAGCTGGTTTATTAATAATGCTTAATGCTCAGTGTTGCCAGTAGTCTGTAGTAACAAATAAGTTGCCATTAGAGCAAACATATTACAGCAGCAGTGGTTCAACTCATGTAAACTCAAAAATATCTAAGATAGACCCACACATCCATCTGTGCATGTCCATGGCATAATATATAATCATTTAAATTACGTAAGTATCACCTTGGTTCAAACACACAGAGAACTCATATTAAACACAGTGGTAGTGTAGTACTACAAGCAGACATTCCCTGGCTCGAACCATCATTAAAAGGACTTTGGCGCCATCGTGGCTCAAGAGTTAGGAGTTCGCCTTGTAATCGGAAGGTTGCCGGTTCGAGCCCCGGCTTGGACAGTCTCGGTCGTTGTGTCCTTGGGCAAGACACTTCACCTGTTGCCTACTGGTGGTGGTCAGAGGGCCCGGTGGCGCCAGTGTCCGGCAGCCTCGCCTCTGTCAGTGCGCCCCAGGGTGGCTGTGGCTACAATGTAGCTTGCCATCACCAGTGTGTGAATGTGTGTGTGAATGGGTGGATGACTGGATATGTAAAGCGCTTTGGGGTCCTTAGGGACTAGTAAGGCGCTATATAAATACAGGCCATTTACCATTTTACCATCGTGTGGCTGAATAAAATTACTACACTATGGCGGCGGCAGCACATGCCCTCAATCACTATGTGAAAATGTGCAGCTACAACTCACTAGAAAGTAATTCAAGCTGCGGCAAACAAACAGATTTAAGGTCATTTACTCAACACAGGAATGCACCTCACACGATGAGGCGACAACAAGCTGACCTGGAAGTACTATCTCTCCCTCTAGAGTAGCAGCGCAAACTCATGCCTACGTCATTTCCATTAACCTCATTCAAAACAATAGATTAGATTAGATTAGATAGAACTTTATTAATCCCTCGGGTGGGTTCCTCTGGGAAATTCGATTTCCAAAAAAGCACAGCACCGACAGTATTGCAGGAACGGGAAATGTCCGATCCTTTTATACAGCCGGTTTCCCTCAAAGCTGTTTACTGAGACCACTGCTTTACTCTTTACATACCCATGACTGTGTTAGAGCCTGCCAGAGCAACACTTCAATTCATTTGCTGATGACACAAACGTTGTAGGTCTCACTTCACAGGGCTAAGAGACATCCAGATATTGACCTGCAACTGAACATCACAAGAACCAAGAACTCATCCTGGATTTTAGGAGGATGCAGAATGATGACCCCAGACGGACGTCTCCTGATTAGTCAAAGTCAAAAAGATGTTATTTATCCTCACGGGGCAATTAAAATAGACGATACCTTGCCGACCATACATAAAATACACAAACATCACATTGGGGAGACGGGTCAGGCTGGTAGCACTGGCCGGTCCTTGTCTTTCCTCATGCACAACATGAGGAAAGACAAGGAGAAAAAAAGAACTGCCCCCAAACTGAGCTCCAACAGGGAGATCAGTTTGAGAACAGAAAAAAACAAAACACCTCAGCACATGAATCATCACATCTGACAACACAGACCATCAGAGCTGTGCACCCTGTCTTCCATCTCTGACTGTCAACACCACTGTTTCACAAAAAAAGGCAGAGCATGTGTCTGCACTTCCTAAGATCGCCGACGAGGAGCAACTTGGAGAAGTCAGAGATGGCGGCCTTTGACCTCACATACTGCCTGACTGTGGGGGACACAGAATCCACGGCAACCGACAGCAAGAAATGTACATCGCATCATCCATTCTGCTGTAAAGATCACTGGCTGTTCAGTCTGGACACTGCAGTGCACTTTACAGTATGCTTTGTAACAGATTCTCATTTTTCATGTTATTTACATCAAATCATGCCCAGCCGCAGTGCCTAACACTAAGCTAACACACTGAGAACGGTAATGAAAGTTTATCAGGTCTGCACGTTTTTATGTTTTCTAACGTAGTTTAAACATGTTAGTTTGGTAATATCTGTTAGTACAGCTGAGACTGTCAGTCCACCAGGATTTACTGACCCCAGACTTCCTACTTAACCTGTTATTTTCCAACAGAATTAGAATATTGCAGATTTCTGACTAAACACCTAAATTTAGGATTTTAAAAAAAACAATGTATGGAGAAGTGTTAGTTACACATTGTTTTTTTTTTAAACTTGAGAATGAACTTATACAAAATGCAGCAAGATATTTAAAAAACAGTTTAATTGATTATAAAATCCACTTTAAATACACCACGTCAGACCCGATGACACATTCATGCTTTTAAGCATCTCTTTATTCAGTACGGTTGCTGGATACACAGAGCTGCAGGACCTAGCACCATATTTAAGTTGGCAGGGCACGATACCGCAGGCCCCGCCCCAGCACTACATCAGATTCACATCGGTATCGGCAGATATCCAAATTTATGATGTTGGTATTGGACATAAAAAAGTGGTATCGTGCCATCTCTAGTTTCAATTTAAAGATCACAAATAGTTCTTTCAGACTGTATTATGATTTATACATTTACATTTGGATCATCTGGTTCTCCTCCCACTGTTCACTCACCCAAAGTCTCGTGTCCTGAGCTGAAGTCAGGGCCCTCACACAGGAAAAGATCGGTCGTGTGATATTCCCGTCTCTGGACAACGAGCCAGCTAACGTCACACGTTTCCTCTGAGAAACACTTTGATGAGGTTCTCACATCGTATGAGAGTCTGACAATGTTAGATCCACTAACACAAATGTTTTATTCCCCATTTGTTACCAGGTGCTGATAGTGTTCAGATATAGGACAACATGTAGTGAGGTCAACTTAACTCATTCACTGCCAGCCATTGGCAGTGAATGAGTTAAACCCATTGACTCATTCACTGCAATTGACGGCTATAGACGTCAATTGCAGTGAATGAGTTAAAATCCTCTCAAAGTACCATTTTTACAACTTGATAATAAGAAATTACAACAACACACAGACTCATCGGTCAGTGACAGGTTTGCTGAGATGGCACCGATGGGAAAAAAAAAGCACTCGCAGAGATTTGTTTCATGTGAAGGTTAAAATTCACATGCTGTGATCAGCAGCAAAGTTGGCAGAGCAGAATAAACAGCTGGAGCATGACATCTAACAGTAATGCTAAACAGCTGTGACCATAATAAGAGCAGCAGCAGCTGATGAAGCACAAACTCTGTAATGGTGACATTTTCCTCACCGAGCTCATCGTTTCCTCTGTAGCGGCTGAGCCAAGTCCAAAACGTTCCTCCGCTGCTCCGTCAGACTCTTCTCCTCCTGCTGATCAGCTGGGGCACAGAAACAGAACAACAAATAAACATAATTCGTTTCTTCAGTTTTTCCTGTGACTTTAGAGCCACAATAATCCAAAGACTTAAATTCTCCTCCTTCAGCAGAAGATCTGACAAAGAGTCGTGTTTTTAATATTTTATGCAGCACTGACTGATTTATCTGCCTACAATCAGTGAACATACGCAGGTCTGCTGTTGAGTTTCTCCTGCTGTAACGTTAAAGGACAGTGTAGCTGACTGTGCAGGTGCCTGTAAAAAATGTCAAAACAACCTTCTGCCATCTGCACTCAGATGAGCAGAGTCCATACAGACGAACCTGAGGCAGCTCCACACAGCAGACGCGACCTCCGTGTCTGCTTTACTTACAAAAACACTGTGAAATAAATCTAACGTCAGGGTTTTTTCTTCTTTTGTCCAGGATGATTTTAGTTTTGAGTTAAAATTGTATTCAAGTGCTAAAGCATGAAGTGCCAGGAGCTGATAACAGAACAGCAGGAAATGATCACTTATATTTCTGTTCCTGTCGGCACAGGTGGAAACAGTGCGCACATTCTTCGTTTAAGCTGAAGTACAGATGTTACTGCAGTACTCGAGTACAAGTCAAAAAGTCTCTGAAATGCCTAAAAGTAAAAAAGCAGCTGGTTGAAGCTGTTTCTGTGCAAACATAACTCAGATTAATTTAATTATACTTCATTTTTTGTAACATCCGTTATGTAAAACACACGCAGAGAAACAGCTGTTTAAGTTCGCCTACATTGGAGATGGCTGACTTTGCAGATCTAAACAGAAAAATAAATGTTTGCTTGTTTCATCTCTGCGTCAGCTACACCAGTCCTGAGTGAAAAATGCTTCCACGCCACGTTTGTCTTTTATTCTTTTAGTGTCGTCGCGCCCTCTGTGAGGTCGGGGAGGCACACATGAGGTGAGACGGTACCACAGAGGATTAATCACAGATTACGGCTCACTCGACTGCAGTTAATCTGATAGGTCATTACATTTGTTTTCATGATCAACACATTTGGAGAACTGCAGGCATGCTGCATATACGTGTAATATATCCAAAGAATGCTCACAGAATAACACGTATGTACTAAATGCATATGGCAGCAGGCTTGTCCTCTTTAACATTAAAACGTGTCACAGCTTTTCAGAGTTTTTAAGAACGTGTTCAGAGTAAGTTTACATTTGTGGTCATTCACGGCGTTCCTGCGCCTTCCCATGAAAATTTCACTGTTCAATACATTCAGACTAATGAAAATTATTATTAGCCATCAATAAACAGCTTAAAAAGCCTTACATGCAACGACGCACTGCTCTTTTACCAGCAGAAGCAGCTGTGCTGTGTTATTACCAAGTGCTGAAATCCTGAATGAAGACAGCACTGAATGCATCGCTGATGTTTATTTTCAGCGGTTAAATAATTATTTTTTAACCAGGAGGATTTTTTTCTCCATCCTTTCATCCGGCCGTTGTCCCACTAAAACCATTTGGCCGACGAGGGGCTTTGCTGTCCCGTATAAAGAAGTCAGGTCTGCCCGGAGCAGTTATAAGTCTAGCTGGACAGCGGGGCTTTGTTTTTGTCAGGCATTTCAATTGTTCAGCCCTCATATTCCCGCTGATGGGCCTCAAATCAGATTCTGAACAGGCATCTGCGCGGACAGCCATACTGCAGTGGCAGCTTCTTTAATGTCACCAGTTAAACTCAAAACTCTCGTTTTTCCTTCTCATGAACGACACTCCTGCAGGCTGTCGGGTGGAATAAAGAAACCTGCATTTAAAGATGGAAAGTTCCCCGAGTTTTGTTTTCCGGTTTCCTTATTTTCCGGTTTGTCGGGACCTCCGACACATCAGTTTGACATCATCCGCAGTCAACAGCGGGAGCACCGCGGAGAGCAGCAGAAGACCTCCTCAGGAGCTAAACCCAAGATTAACTGAGCTTAAAGTTAGCTCGGCGCTTACCTTCAGATGAAACCGAGAGAAACTCCTCGCCGATGCAGCCGGACGTCTCCTTTCCCCTCATCTTCCGGTTTTCTGGCGGGTGTCAAACAGTAATAGGTGCTTTACCGCCACCTGCTGGTGTGGAGAAACTGAACTCGTTCTTTGACCTCTGTGAGGTTTTCAGTCAGTTTCCCTCCTCCAGCCTCATATTTCTGACAGTGTAACAGAACTCGCCCCGTGGTTTCATTCACTCCGCGATAATCCCATTTTTAACATCTCTGTTCTGAACTATGTTTTTTTAAACCAGTGTGTCATCATATGACAGTTTCCTCTCTGCTCAATTCTCCAGTTTTCCTTTAAATCGTGTAAAACCATCCTTGTTTCAGGTTCTGCATTATTAAGCTCTGGATTTCTGTTCCCCTTCAGTGGACACGTTTTGGTGGCTTCTTTTGGTGATTTCTCTGATTTTCTTCTTTTACTCCAAAATGATATTTTAACAGGGTCAAAGTCAGGGTAATAGACATACAGCAACATGAATTAGCAATTTTGGTGACTTAGAAAGTTGTCAGTGAACTGAGCTTCATAGCATGGCCTCTTAACTTCTTGTGAGTGATTATGAGTAACCACAGCTGCTGACTTCTCTGAGGCCAGTTAAATAGTACTCATTAGACACAAATGCTACAATGGGAAAGTCTATGGAGCTCAGCATAGATCTGAAAAAGCGAATTATTGATTTGGACAAGTCAGGAAAGTCACTTGGGGCCATTTCAAAGCAGCTGCATGTCCCAAGAGCAACAGTGCAAACAATTGTTTGTAAGTATAACGTGCATGGCACTGTTTCATCACTGCCAAGATCAGGAAGAAAACGCAAGCTATCACCTGCTGCTGAGAGAAAATTGGTCAGGAGGGTGAAGAGTCAACCAAGAATCACCAAAAGGCAGATCTGCCAAGAATTAGAAGCTGCTGGAACACAGGTGTTATTGTCCACAGTTATACGTGTTTTGCATCTCCATGGACTGAGAGGCTGCCGTGCAAGAAGGAAGCCCTCGCTCCAAAAGCGGCACCTTAAGGCTCGACTGAAGTTTGCTGCTGATCACGTGGACAAAGATAAGACCTTCTGGAGGAAAGTTCTGTGGTCAGACGAAACAAAAATCGAGCTTTTTGGCCACAATGTCCAGCGATATGTTTGGAGGAGAAAAAGTGAGGCCTTTAACCCCAAGAACACCATGCCTACAATCAAGCATGGTGGTGGGAGTATTATGCTGTGGGGCTGTTTTGCTGCCAATGGAACTGGTGCTTTACAGAGAGTAAATGGGATAATGAAGGAGGAGGATTACCTTCAAATTCTTCAACATAACCTAAAATCATCACCTCGAAGGTTGGGTCTTGGGCACAGTTGCGTGTTCCAACAGGATAATGATCCCAAACACACATCAAAAGTGGTAAAGGAATGGCTAAGTCAGGCTAGAATAAGGGTTTTCGAATGGCCTTCCCAAAGTCCTGACTTAAACCCCATTGAAAACATGGACAATGCTGAAGAAACAAGTCCATGGTAATGGTAAAATGGTAAATGGCCTGTATTAGTATAGCGCTTTACTTAGTCCCCAAGGACCCCAAAGCGCTTTACACTACATTCAGTCATCCAGCCATTCACACACTGGTGATGGTAAGCTGCATTGTAGCCACAGCTGCCCTGGGGAGCACTGACAGAGGCGCCCCAGGGCAGTTAAATTTGATGTCAGAAAGCCATCAAATTTAACTGAACTGCACCAATTCTGTCAAGAGGAGTGGTCCAAGATTCAACCAGAAGCTTGTGGATGGCTACCAAAAGTGCCTAATTGAAGTGAAAATGGCTAAGGGACATGTAACTAAATATTAACACTGCTGTTGCACATTTTTGACCCAGCAGATGTGATCACTTTTCATGTTAACCCAAAATAAAGTCATGCTGCTGCACTGAAAAGAGCTCCTTGGTGTTCTTCCAGCAGGAGTTGGGCCTGGGCATCCCTGCAGAGACTGCATCCCCCATGACCTTGATAAGTGGTAGAAGATAAATAGGTGGCTAGATGTGGAAAAAAAGAAAGATTAAATTAAATATTGTAATACATAAAACTATAAATCTACTGCTTATTTGTTTGTTTGTGTGGCTTTATTTTGAACATGTTGAAATAATACAAGAACATCAAAGAAAAGAAAAAACACAATTAACCACAACAGAAAAAAAGCAAAACAGAATAATCCTAATAAATAATGTGGAGAAGCATGAGCCTGTGTAACCCCCCATCTTTTTTCTTTTTGTACCAATAATCATCACCCTTTTCTTCCTGTTTACATCGTATCCAATCATAAATCCTTTCTTTACATGTTTACATCGTGCGCCAGGAGGTAAACATATTTATGGATCTCTGTAACCAGTATGATCCTTATGGCCCTTATTATTTGTTATATGGACAATGATGATAGTGAGCATTTCTAAGTACTGGCCCAAACCTCTGCACAATAATTCATATAAAGTGAAAGCAGAATGTGTTTTGCTTTACTCAATATTGAAATGTTTCTTGGAACTGTGTTATGTATGTTTTATATGAGATTTCCATCTTATTTTATCATCTATTTTTGTTATCATCTATTATATCCATCTATACCAAGGAACCTATGCTGAACTCTTTCAATTTCCACAGCATCTACGTGAGTCTGCACTTTAGTTGGACAATTCCCAAACAGGATGATCCTTATCGCCCAGAAAAAACAAATATTTGTGAATCAGATACTTTACAAATAACTAAATAAATACTGAATCCTTATGGATCAAGTACAGAACCTCCAGGAACACCACAAGCATGATGAGGAATATTCTCCCAACTTTCAAATTGTTTCCTGTCCCTTAAATACTTTTACAATCAGATGTAAAATTATTTACATCTGATTGTAAAATTAGATGTAAATAATCCATCCCATATTGTTTAATAGTGATTATTAATTACGATTTCATGGTTGATTTTTTCTTAAATGCTTTTTGAAGATTTAGGAATAATCCAGCCACAAGCTGTTTCTGATCTACTTAATAATAATTAAGTGGAATTTTCACAACTTGACAAACCAGTATTTTTTTTCATTCAGAACTTTATTCAAATGGTGAGTAAATTTCCTCAACAGCCTTACGAGATGACGAACCACACTTATTAAACAAAAATCTTGAGAGAAAAAGTCAGAGAAGTAAAATAATAATAATACTTTTCATTTTTTTTCAGTCCCCTACAAAAGGTTAAGTCTTATCTTCTTTACAAATTCTGAGTAGCAAAACAAGAAAGGTTCACAAATAATACAATTTCTGACAGCTAAACCACAATGCTGTTGTCTGAGGCAATAATTATTATGGAGACTCACGCTTGCATCACCCTTAGCAATGTTCAAATGTTGCTAAAATCCAAAGGAAGTGTTGACAAAGAACATAAAGGTAAACTAAAACTAAATTAAAAGTATGCAACTAAAACTTTTACAACCACCCAGAGGAAGTGTATTAAACATATGCAAATACTCCATTTCCACTGACTGGCAGTTGCTGGTTTGAAAAATTCTAGCACTGGTAAATTTTTTCAGACTGTTTCCAGTTTGAACAGTTTTATCTAATAAGAACTTGTGTGAATCTAACCAAACCAAAACATTCTGTCTAAACTTTCACTGACTGAGCTAATGGAACATGAAACATTAACAAAGGCCCAAGTGTTTCTTTCATTTAGGCTTAAGTCCCCTTACAGTCCTGGAGGTAATTTAATTTGCTTATTTAACCTCTTAAGCCCCAAGGGGGTTTCTGAGCTTCCTGCTCGAAAATGTAATGCCCAAATTTAATTATTATATTATTTCTCGGCAATTACAAACTCTGTCCTTACAATCTTGGTATCAAAATAAAGCTAACACTTGGGAAATTTCATCAGAGGTGTAAATATTGAAGCAGATATTACTGTGTCAAAGTTACTGAGACTGGAACACAGAAAAAGTAAGTAGATTTTATCCTCGCCTAATTATATTTTTTAAATTTTTAGCATTTGAAAAATATGCCTCAGATCACATTTGGTTCCAGAAATTCAGTAACCAACATATAAACATCATCTGTGCAAAGATTCATGTTTCTAGAGTGAAACAGTGAAAAATTACAGCCCTGTCAAGACATGAATATCCAGACATTGTACAAAAATGTCCAATTTTGGCACACAATTGGACACCATGCCAGTTGATTTTTTTAGGTTTTAAAGAGCAGAAATTAACAAATTTTATTAACAGGCCTAAAAATGCTTTTTAAAAAAAAAAAAAAATTTTTTTTGAAGAATTAACCACACATTTACATGGCAATGGCCCTTTTCTGCAGCGCGCCTGGAGCGTTTGATTGGCCTCTGGCCCTTTAAACTCTGAGGGGCTGTAACTTCGGTTTCTTTTGGTGAATTTGCGTGATTGACACCTCTTTTTAATCGTTTGAGCCAATAGATTCACAGTAACGATGCCACGTTCACGCCACTTCAACCAATCAGACGTTGTGATGCCAAAACCCACGTGGGCCCAAATTTACAGCATGTGGCGTCTGTTCAGTCACGTGTCTGTAGGTGGGTCTAAAATGGAGGTTGTTGACGGAAAATTGCTCTGATGCGGCTAGGTAGGTATGGTAACTACTGTTCACATGGCTACCAGCTACAATAACGGAGGAAATCGGGACGGTAAGCCAATTTTTGTCTTAGCGCAATTGCGCTGCTGTGTGTTTTTGTGGTCTTCTTTTACGGCTCATTCAGTGAATTTTGGTCTGATCGTGGTGAAACTTGGTGTGTGGAGTCAGTGATAGCCCTGGAAGCTAACCAGCCTATCTCTAGCTGGTTACACGAAGTCTGAAGAATTTCTGGTTCGGTTTTGTTTGTTTAGCGGACTTCTGCGCATTTACGTAACTGCTCGTTTAATCACGGCTTGTTTTTGGTGTGTTTGGTGGTTGTAGAAATGGTTTTTATGACATTTTAGCTGAGATTCTGAGGTTTCTGTGGATACCACACATGTCTGGACTTATATTTCTCAACCCGCGTTATAACCGATTAAACGTGATCTCCTCCTTTTTGCCCCCGGTACCGGGGGTGTGGGGCTTAAGTGTTTAACAATATTTCTTTTTATCATTTCAATCTCTAAACCACTTTTTTACTCTACATTTTTACTGGTTTTCTCAGGGCCTATAGAGAAACTAGCACCACTGCACAACAGACCAATAAGGTCATCAAACAATGGATAATCTAATGTACCACTTTGTTGTACTGCTACCGAACTTTAAAGGTACTGAAAGTTAAGACAGTACACAAAACGTGACACTAACTGAAATCTCAGGAATCTATATCTATTCTGTGCAGCCTGATCTCGAGGGTTTTAAGTCTGAGACCATAAGTCTGGCTAGATGCTTCGAGGCACTTCCTTTTATCCAGTGAAGGAAATGATTTCTGCTCAGCATGTTTGACCTGATGTTTCCACAGACCTCGCGATGAAGCAAATATTTTTGGGCACTGGTAACAATAAAACTGCTTATTTGCAATGTGGCTGCGCTTGTGAATGGTGTAGGAATTGTGAGTCCTGAAACTCTTGTCGCACTGGTCACAGTCATACTGTTGCTCTTTGTCGTGAACATGTGCATGTCGTGCGCGCATAGATGCTGAAATAAAGGATTTGTCACAGTGTTTGCACTTAAAAGGTTTCTCCCCAGTGTGGGTACGTTCGTGGTACTCAAATGAAGACAGGGAGTTGAATATCTTTCCACAAACTTCACAAGGAATTATTATCTCTTTGGTGTGGATGAGATGATGTATGCGGTAAGATCTTGAATGTCTGAAGCTTTTCCCACACTCGTCACAGGAGTATGGTCTTTCTCCAGTGTGCCCACGTTCATGAAGCGTGCGATGACCTGAGGATGTGAAACTTTTCTCACAATGTCGACACTTGAATGGTTTCTCCCCTGTGTGAATTCGTTTGTGTCTTCGGAGATTACCTGCGTTGGTGAATGATGACTCACAGACATCACAGACATGACCTTTAACCCCACTGTGGACAATTTTGTGGCATTTTAATAGACCCAGTGTTGGGAAGCCTTTCCCACATTCTTTGCAATAGTTCAGTTTGTGTCCAGTGTGCATGTTCTGGTGTCTTCTTAAGGTTAACAGCTGGCTGAAAGTGTTTCCACACTGGACGCAGCGGTATGGTTTATTGCCACAATGCTGACAGCGTCGAGGATTTGAGCCATATGTGCTGCTCCATTTCTGAAACAATTACCAAAGGTTATAAGGAAAACAATCTTGGGTTTATAAATTACAGTGAATAATGAGCTAACAAAAAGCTGCATAATCAGTTACAGTCTGAGATCTGAGGTATTTACTTCTCACATCTAACACACTGACTCCGCACTTACTGTCTAATGTCTAAAATACTTAAAACAATATGATATGAAAAAAAAAGATTTCAGAAAACATTTCTTGAAATCCATTCCAAATACCTGACAGTGATGGCACTTAATTGGTTTCTTTCCTTTGTGAATCTGTCGATGGTGCCACAGAGAGCTGGAACTTTTAAAACGCATACCACACTGGTCACATTTGACTGGTCTCTCCCCAGTGTGGTCTCGTTTGTGGATTATAAGGCTGCGATAATGGCTGTAAGCCTTCCCACACTGTTCACAGCGATGCGGTTTCTCCCCTGTGTGTGTAACTTTGTGGGCTTCTAGTCCAGAATACAAAGGAAAACATCTACCACATACTTCACAGCAGTACAGATCCTCTCCCGTGTGCATTCGTCTGTGTCTTTTCAGGGTCACTTTCTGGCTGAAGTTTTTTCCACAAAGGTCACAGCGATATGGCTTGAGTCCAGAGTGGGTATGCTGATGGAGAGTTAAGACTTGCTTGGAGGAAAAAGCTTTCCCACACTTATCACACTTGTATGGTTTCACTCCAGTATGCCTGTGTTGATGATTTTTTAAGTTACTCTTGCTGACAAAAGCCTTTCCACACAGCTCACAGCTGTGTGCCTTCACTCCACTGTGAACGAGCTCATGCCTCTTCAGGTATGCCAAATGAGCAAACTCCTTCCCACATTCATCACAGGAATGTAGTTTCACTCCAGAGTGGGCAACTAGGTGCACTGCTAAGCTACGTTTTTTGGCATAAGCTCTTTCACACTGGGTACACTTGTATGGTTTTTCTCCAGTGTGAGTGCGTAGATGAATTTTGAGGTTGCCGGACTGTGTGAATCCTTTCTCACACTTATCACAGCGGTATACTTTATCACCAAAGTGGACTCGCTGGTGCCTTCTGAGCTCAGCTGATGAAGTGAAAGCTTCCTCGCACTGGTCACAAGAGTAACGCTTCTCCCTTGTATGAAGTTTACTGTGTTTCTTTAGATTTCCTTTCAAGAGGAAAGCTTTTCCACATATCTCACACAGGTACTGTTTCACATTTTCATGTATTTTCTTATGTGTTTTGAGGCTGGCTGCCCAACAGAAAGCTTTTCCACACTGGTCACAGGAATGTTGTTTTTTCCCAGCATGGCTGTTCTGGTGTTCTCTGAGACTATTTTGTTTTGTGAATCCTTTCCCACACTCATCACACCAGAACCTTTTTTCTCCAGTGTGAGCTCTCTTATGTACCTTCAGGTAGTTGAGTATACTGAAGGACTTGCCACACTCCTCACAGGTGTACGGCTTCTCTCCAGTGTGGATGCGCAGGTGTCTTTTCAAGGCTGCTATATGATTAAATGACTTTCCACACTGGCCACAGGAGTACGGTCTCCTTCCAGTGTGGGTGTTCTGGTGTTCTTTTAAAGCACATAAAACTGGGAAAGCTTTCTCACATTGATCACAGGGATATGGTTTTTCTCCAGTGTGGGTGCGCTTGTGTACCGTGAGGGCAGATGTGTGACGAAAAGTCTTTTGACACTGGTCACAGCTGAAGGGTTTTTCTCCAGTGTGAATACGTGTGTGAATTCTTAGAGCTGCTGCTGTGATAAAAGCCTTTTCACAGTGCTCACAGTTGAAGGGTTTCACTCCAGAGTGGATGCGTTGGTGGTTTCTGAGCCGTTTTGCAGTGGGAAAAGCCTTTCCACATTCTTCGCAGGGGTGTGATTTGTCTTTGTTTGTTGCTGGGGAAGCCTTATCATCCTGAGATCGCTGAGTTCTCACTTTGCTTTGTCTTTTACATTTCTGGAACAACAAACAGATGCAGATTTATTTTTTGTTTGTTTGTTTTCTGTTCTCATGCTGTCCTCCCATAGGAGCCCAGCATGAGCAGAGGTCTCTTTTATCACTCTTGGACTTTCTCATTGTATTGTACATTTCTGTGTTTTTCCGTAATACTACTGATCTCTGATCTGTCTCCCCATGTGATGTCTGTGTTGTGTATGTAAGGTCGGGGGGGGGGGGGGGGGGGGGGGGGGGGTCCCATTTCACTGCAGGGCAACTTGCATGTGGCGAATAAAGTTCTGATTGATTGATTGAGGAGTAGAGACAGTGAGTGCAAAGTATTCATAGTCAACCTTAAACCACATTGTTCTCTCATGAGAAAAAGGTGAGACCCATCTTTGTGACATTTTGTGTGATTAGGGCTGGGCCACATCATACAGTTCATGATGATACCATTATAATGTTGGGCAATGATAAGAAAATGAAATATCGCAATAGAATATGGGTAAAACGCAGATGCGCAGTGCCTTTGTTTTCATACACACATTGCGGAAAAAGCATGGTGGCAACGGAGAATGAGAAGAGCGAAACCGGATCGTTAAATGAAACAGATGAACCACAATTGGTTTGTAAAAATGGTGCAACTTCAGTGGTGTGGAACTGGTTTGGCTTTCATCCGTCAGATACACACCAAAGCACTATTTTTGGTAGAACAAGCGGGCCGTCATTATTACCGAACCGATTTTATGTGCACGGCCCTCAAAAATCTGTCAAAAAATGTTTTAGTACGACTTTGCTGAGCTACGAAGCCGCACCGCTTGATGGATTGTCGGAGCATTACGGCTATCGTAGGCGGAGCCTCGCGGAGTGATACGTACTGTGCTTCAACATAATGCTACTGTATTGTGTGTGTATAAGCTCTTTTTAAGTTTTGTGGATATTATACATGGTTATGCTGAGGATATGTCGGCCAGTTTCCACTGGAAACGCCTTTTGGTTAAACTGTCAGCGAGGAATTTGCACCGTTACATTTTTATATAACTTTAATTCACATAAAACAGCTGCTTGTTTAAGTGAAAATACATAGATGGGTTTGTTTGTTTTTTTGCACTAATAAAGTTGAGTTGTAAAGTATTTTGTCTAGTGTCAGTTATATCGTTATCGCAAATTTTCAAATGTATATCGTGATAAATATCTTTGGTCATATCGCCCTGCTCTACTTGTAAATCAAATATGTAGTTGTGAACTGAGTTTTGTAACCATGTAAACCAAAATATCTGAACATTTTATGTTTGTGCATCTGCAGATGAGAATTTGTGTGTTTGTAAAAAATATTTACACGAGTTACAATTTTTTTTGTTAAGGCCTGGTTACAGCAAAAAACTACGTGTAAAACTCTGCGCTCAGGTTTCCTGGCTGTGTGTGAGTTTCAACTTACAAGTAGGGGTGGGCGATAGAAACGATATACGATAGAAACAATATAAATTTGGCCAACGATAGAGATTTTGACTATATCGCTCTATCGCGATAGCGCGTGTTGATGATGTCATCAAGCTGCGCCTGTTTTGGTCTAAAGCATCGCAGCGGCTGCTGTCATATGTCACTGTATGATAATACAACCATTATCATCTGCAAATTATGCCAGGCGACAGTCATAGCAAAGAGATGTTAACTTCTGTCTCTGTTAAATTGAATAAATTCTGTTTTCATGGATGCATCGATGTAAAACTTAATTGTTACACCCGATAAAGCAGCAACGCTGATGATTTAATTAAAGATGAAAGAATTTAGACCGTTTTTAACTCTTAGTATTCGTTTGACTTTGGGACCTGAAGTTGACGGAGTTTTGGACCCAGATTACTCCGCGAAGCTTTTCACTACGGCAGCCATAATGCTCTGACAATCCATCAAGCTGTGCGGCTTACCAAAGTTGTACTAAAACATTTTTTAACAGATTTCTGCACGCAGAAATCGGTTCGAGGTCAGTAAGCACAACCAGAATTCATACATAAGGCACACTCTCGATTTTTGAGAAAATTAAAAGATTTTTAGTGTGGAAAATACGTTACACAGAAGAAAAGAATATATCGTGATATATATCGTTACCGCACATGCTTCAAATTATATCACCTTATGAATTTTAGGCCATATCGCCCAGCCCTACTTACAAGTGCAAAGTTTTACTCAATCTTTGGGTTTGGCTGTCGGAGGGGTGCTTTACTGAGCCTCGGGTCCTGGAAGGGTAATGCAGTTTGAGGCTGGAGGATCTCTATATAAATATCCCGTAGGGGTCATACAAGCTAGGTCCCTTAACTGTAGCTGTTGAAAGGATAAAGTTGTGGTATGTCAGTGGTCAGAAATACCTTTACTACGTTAGTATTACTTAAACACAAAGTCAGGACTGACCAGGGACCATTGCTGTGAGTCACAGTGCGCAGCATAAAGGCCCATTCACAACAGATGTGGTGTCACTGCACTCACTTGGGGTCATATTTTTGCAGCAGCTCTACGTGTACTAGATGCACCTGCTCCTTGTCATTTCAAAACACGTATATCTCTGACGTTATATCCTCTACAACAGTTTCTGTTGTATTATGTTCAAATGTTCAATAGGAAACAACTCATTCATAATGAAAGAAAGCTTTGTAACTATCCCGGCTAGTGAAGAGTGTCCTTTCCACAACACTTCCTTCCCCCTGAGGTCCACAGAGCTGTTGAAAAGGCTCTGGAGGTCTCTGTGCAAGCACATAAACCTGTGACACACTAATCACCGAACTCAGACACGCACAGACTGTTGTCCTTCGTTGTGATGAAGGACCTGAAGCTCAGTAAAACACCCCTCCGACAGCCAAACTCATCTGCTCTCTGATTGGATTGTAAAATTTGTAAATTTACTCACAAGTTGAAACTCACACACAGTCAGGGAAGCTAAGCACAGAGGTTTTTGCTTTGTATCTGTAAGCAGACAAAGAAATGTGTAACGTGTGCAAATTTGGATTTAGCTGTTATTTGTAGCCATCACGTCGCACAGACACACACACTGTTTATGATGAAACAGGGAGCTGCGCTCCATCAAAATCTATCATCAACAGTTTTGTGTCAGAGCACATCACTGACACCGAGGTGCACTCCTCACCTTCTTTGAAGAGCCCATTGTTCCTCTGCAGCGGCTGAAGGAGGATCGAACTCCTCTTCCTCAGATCGTCTTCATCCCACCATCACATCAGCCTCCGTCTGTGTTTTCAGATTTCGACTCCACCCTTTATCTCGTAGATTCAGGATTCAATCCTAAACGTAAACATGACATAAAAGTCTGTAGATGATAAAGAACGTGTTCGTCACTGACTCTGAACACGCGTGAGTAGAAACGCACTCCTTCATCTCAGGTGAAACTATTGAGGAACAAACACGCGTTTATCATGACTCTGGTTTTACTGGCCCATCAACACAGTTTATAAACTGGTATATGTCACCTTGTTGCTTTGTCTGTAAGTGGTCATGTGATTGACCACGACTCCTTTATCCTTCCTCAGTCAAACAGCAGCACTCATGTGATTCTTTTGCCCCCTGAGCTCCAGGTGTGGTGCTAGACAGTCAACGCCGTTATTCCCATCACTGGTACTGTGACTGCGCTTTTAATGGTCTTCTTTTAACCGTCGACTCGGGTTGCTCTGTGTTTTAGTCCTTTTAGGTTTGACTCCTGCCTTTGGGATCTATTTTTAGGAAATACAACATTCCCTTTCACTGTTATGCTGATGAAATCAAAATTTACTTCCCCTTGAAACTGGACGTCTCAGTCCCAGTGCAGCCTTTAACATGATGTTAAAGACTGGTCAACACAGAGTTTTCTTACACTAAATGAAAATAAAACTGAAGTGTCGGTTTTTGGAACTCACGCCTCTTTGAACAAGTTAGCCGATACCCTCGGTCCTCTAGCTTCTCATCTTTCTCTCACTGTAAGGAGTGGTTTTAGATATCTCCTTTAAATTAGAGAAGCAAGTGTCCACAGATGTGACAACAAGTTTTTATCAGTTATGTGAAATTGCCAAAGCTAAGCCTGATCTTCCCCCAGGAGACCTACAAACACTTATTCATGCCTTCATCACTGCAGTTCCCTCTGTTTGGGTCTCCAACACTCTCCATAGCTTGCAGTTATGCTGCTGCACGTCTTTTAACAGGTCTTAGAATGTATGAACACATCACTCCAGTTTTAGCAAACTTACACTGGCTCCCTGTAAAGTATCATATTGATTTTAAGATTCTTTTACTTAATTTTAAAGTTTTAAATAATATGGCACCCAGTTATTTAAACGAACTCCTCAACATGTACGACCCCAAAAGAGCACCCAGATCGTCCAGCCAGATTCAGTCTTTTAAATCACGTCTTAAAACTCACTTTTTACTTTGCTTTTAATTCAAGTTCAGTTTGAGTACCATCAGGCCTGTTTGGTGTTTTTAATGTTAATTTATTGTCATTTATCTGTATTTGTTTCTCTATTGTTTTTTCTTGTTCTTAACCTGTTGTGAAGCACTTTGGTTAACTCTGTTCCTTTTAAATGTGCTATACAAACACATTTTGAATTGAATTGAATCAACCTGGGGATGTGAGCTGCTTTATAAAAATCACCTGAAGAAGAATCTACTGCGCACACATGAGGAAGTTTCTCCATAAAAGCAGGTAAAACCGTCTCTTTGCAGGTGAAATTTGAAAAAAAGGTTAAAGGCAATGAAATGGCAAATATCAGATCCACACAAAACTGTTCTCTGCACTACAATGTGATGCAATATGATTTACTCAAGTACCTTACTGAAGTAAACTTTGGATGTACTTGTTAATATGCAAACATTGTACTTTAAAGTTTTACTTCCTTCTTATTTTACAGATGTTCTACATGATGCTGCAGCAGAGGGGAATTCATTCAAACCATCTGCAGCTGCAACATTAAAATGAATAATATTATTATCGCAGATAAACCGTGTTTAATGAGTACGTCACGTCGACACTTAAACTTTGACTGCGAGTCTAAATTCGTGTTTTCAGGCTGTGGTGGAGACACTTTCGTGTGGCGCAGTGGGCTCGCGTTGTCTCCACCAGCCCGTCTCACACGTGTCAGCTTCAGGTATGCAGCTGCCTCCGCACGCGCCTAATGAGCGTCCGGGACATAGCGGGCTAACCTCAGGCGCAAACGCGGTGGTTTCCTCCGGACGAGCTCAGGCCACAAACCCGGGCTGGAAGTCTTGGGTAGGCTGGACGGTTGCGCTGAAGCGGATCTTCAATTTTTATCCTTCTTTTTCTGCAGCTGCTTCTTCTTCTTGTCTGACAGTACTTCCGTTGTTCCACCACCTCCGATCCGCATCATCGCCACCTGCTGGTCTGGAGTGCGAAGCAATAAACGAGCCTCCGTGAGCTATGGAGGGCCTCACTTGCCAAAATAAGTCAAATTATTACATCATTTAACAATTAATTAAACACATGTCATTAACTAATTAAAAATGGAAGTAATTAAGTAGCTAATTAATTAAAGTATAATTAATTAATTAAATTATTTTTCTTTGAAGTTTGTAAAATATTTTGTTTGCAATTTCAGAATCAGCATACTTTAAGGAAAATGATGTGAGTTACAGTTGCTCCAGTACAGTAACAGTAAGAAAAACAGGCTAGACTATTTAACCATATAATATGTTACAGATTTAAGAAATAGCACAATATATACACAAATCACTCCATAATGGGATTGACAGAGGTGGTTATAAATACATATCAAGAATACTGGCAGCAATATTACTGAGTAGAAAGAGGGTGTGCAAAAAAAGGGTGTAACTATTGCAGTGTTTACAGTGTGTTAGATGGAGGAGTTGTACAGGGAGACGGCCACAGGCAGGAATGATTTCCTGTGTTGGTCAGTGGTGCTTTTGGGTCATCTCGGTCTCCCACTGAACGTGCTCCTGTGGCTACCCAGTACGTCATGGAGTGGGTGGGAGGTATTGCCCAGTATTGTCTTAATCTTGGACAACATCCACCTCTCAGACACCACCCTAACAGAGTCCAGCTCCATCGCCACAACATTACTGGCCTTGTGGATCAGTTTATTTAGTCTGTTGGCATCTGCGACCCTCAACCTGCTGCCCCAGCATGCAACAGCGTCGTAGATGTCACTGGCCACAACTGACTCCTGATTGACTGATTGATATGAGCCAGCAGCCTTTGAACAGCTGCAGTTAGGAGGATGTTTTCTTGCAGAGTTTTCTTCTAGGATGTGGAAAAAGCCTGATGGTACAACAACAGAAGTCTGGCTTCTTTGATACTGAGGAAAGAATTTCATTGTCCTCCAAATTTATCTTCTGAACATCTTCAAACTCTGTTTCGATGTGTCCAGCTGAAGAATAGTGGTTGAACAAAACAAGCCTTTAACCAGTGTTTATGTGTGCATCGGCTCATAAGTTCTGCTGCATGTCTGACACTTGTAAGACAGACAAACATTCATCCTCATGGATGTCTCAGAACTGTGGGAGGAAGCCCGGGTTCGTGTAGAGAAGCCACATAGGGACACGGATGGACTGATGTGACCACTGCACCACTTATTTCTTTCTTTTTTCCCCACTGCAGGACAGAAATCATTCATTCTTGGGGAGCATGGCCAGACTTTAGGCTGGAATTGATGCACTGTAGAGCTGCACCTGTTTATGATAGGCAGAACTATTAGTGTACTATTAAAAGTTAAATAAAGGTTCTCTTTACTCAGCTGCAGCGATAGGGCTCAGTGTTCTTCTGTGTTTGTCTCCATCTAGTGGACAATCACATTTACTACATGCCAGCTTGCTCCCCCACCTTCAATAAAACAATTGTTGTATTATTAACTGGGTCTGTTTATATTTTGCAATAAGAGGTGAACTAAGAGTTTCCGGTGACTGACTGTGAGGCGTTTTAGCATCACAAACAGGAGAAACGTTTTTGTGCCATCTCAGCAGAGGTGGTGGGTTTCTGAGTTTTGTGGAGACTTCTGGTGCATTTGTTTTTTCATTTCTGCTCCCTCAGCGTAGTTTGTCTGCACCACTTGTTTCATTTATAACCCTAAATCAATAATAGAACATTACTTCAGCTCTGAGTGGGCTATTTATATAGACCATAAAATAAATAATCAAACAACAAGAAATTGTTTCCTAAAAGTCAATGAAAGTATTTTATTTACTTCATCGCGTTTCCGTTCTTATGATCTAATTTAAAACCTGCTTTATTCAATGTTAACTTTAAACCGTAACAACGCTATCAATAAAGGTTATTAAAACCCCCATTAGCTGTGTCCCTCCGCCCCGATGTTTAAAACTCCTCTCCCTCTTCTGCCACGTTTTTGCTCCTCTCCAGAGGGAGGAACGACACTGGGAAGCAGCGCAGGAATCTGATTGGTGAGAAAACACAAGAACCCGCCTGTTGCCCCACCCACACACTCATTAGGCAGCTCTGATTTGTGAACTACTAAGCCAATCACGGTTACCATGGACGTTGGCTTTGCTGGTATCCAAGTGAGGACGTGATTTTTGGTGAACGCGTCGCTCCATCTCACAGAGCGGAGAGCAGAAAGCGAACAGGAGCTTTCACCGCGACAACCACGGCCAGGTTAGAGAGTCACCTCATCGCTGCTTGACTGAAACAAACATCGGGTACTTTACGAAGCAATGGCGCAGAGAAAGAATCCCAGAAACCACTCAAAAAAAGGTACGTACCCTTTATCTGACTGGGTTCTCCCGCCTGTGTCTCTAATTCAGACTTCCGTTTAACATTCTGCAGTTTATAGCTATTTTCAGTCTTTGGAAAGGATCGCGTGTAGTACATCAAAAGCGAGAATATATTTTTAATCCATAAGATTAGTTCTTCGATTCGGCTAATACACTGATACAAAATATAACGTAGACTCCTACTTTCGGAGGTAGATCTCCCGTGGTTCCAACAGCGAAAAGTGCGCACTGCCTGGCGTCCTGAAGCGTCATTAACATGCTGTTAAATATCTAATTATAATAAACGCATCACAATTGCTGTATTTTACTGAAGCCGAGTGGAGAAGTGGTTTTTAAATATTCCCGCAGATGTCGTATTTTATGTTTATAACTTGTAGCGCCGTCTCTAAACAAATGCATATTCGACTGGAAGAATTTTCAATGGAGTCTGGTTGGATGTTCTCGCGATACAAGAGAGCGGGACTGGTTTCGCCCCTTTCTCTGCTAGCGCTGCTAAATGATCACAATAAAGCAGACTCCCAGTTTAACCTCCCTGATAAATCCCGGCATGCTCTGTGTGATTATAGCTTCATTGCCCATCGGTAACATGAAAGTGGCCGTGGAAACGACGCTAAGCTAACCTAGCCCCCATCAATAACAGCCTGCTAACGGCAGCTAACTTTCTCCCAGGCAGCAGCGAGGGGTTCATGTTATCTCTGTTATCTGTGCGGGAGTTTACTGGCCCCGCTCATTATTTACACATGTATAAGCCCGATATAAACCGGGTTATTCCTCACTGCAATCTGTAATTAATTTAAAGGGCAAAAACACATGAATCATGCTTTCACTGACATTCCTGAGACAGTCTGAGGTCTTTACACAGGGTCCCCAAAAGCCTGAAATACAAACACATATAATTTCACATCAAAGATAAATGTTGGGTGTTACAAAGTGCTCACTGCTGCTGCTGTCACATTTTAGCTTTTAAACATTCAACAGTGTTACCTCCACGTTTCTCTCACACATGCTTTCCATTTGTAACAACACATGCAAACATCTGTTCGATCAGGTGAGAGCAAGAATAACACCCGTTTGACATCCGTGACTGTGTGCACACACAACTCTGACACGCACACACAGATATAAACACACACACACACACACAGTGACGAGTGATGGATCGTAAGGTTCTTATCACATAAAAGCAGAACTGGCTGTAATGAGGTACTCTAAGACCAGAGCAGCCTCTTCATGGTTGTTAATACAAACAGGAAGTTTGCTTTTTTTTCACAAACCATGAAGAGTGCCCCCCCCGCCCCCCCCCCCCACACACACACACGTGTTATTAGAGCCTCTTTATTTTTCATGTGTCCAAATGCCCAAACATCATGTGTAACCCTCCATGCTGGTGTGAGCTTGTAAACCTGTGATATGAGCACTGGGAATAATTTTCCGACCACTATGAGGAAATCTTGGCTGAATATAAAAGCACCTGGAACAGCTGGCTTTTGATGTACTTGTTCAGCTGCTGGAGACCACAAACAAAATCGTTGTGATGTCCAATCAGCTTCCAGTGTTGTTGCTAAGGAGACGGACCACTCACAGTCAGCTGCTGTCTTCAGAGTGACTTTGGTGGGTCGAGGTGGAGATAAAAGGGTAATACAGCTCAGTCGCTCTGCTATCAGTTCATTAGAATCAAGTTGGCAATTCCAGAAGTTGCTTCACAAAGAGTGATACAGTTGCTGAAGGGCAGCAGCTTTACTGTAAAACTACACAGGTTGGTTTTTATACAGGCAGCCGAGTCAGCGCTGGAAAGATAAGCTGTGCTCATCAGTGCACCACTATCACACTTGTTCTCTTAGTCTGCAAGATTACACTATTGTGCTGTTTCCATTTCGTTGTATATTCAGTACCAGTAGGCGCTTCGAGTCACGAGCGCCAAACGCAGTGATGTGATTGGTCAGGTCTGTTTATTAAATATGAAAAATCGAGCACGATCCAAAAAACTGAAGTGCCTCAAATTCGTCCTATTAAATTACGCTGTTGGCGATGCATTAAGAGCAGGAAAATATCTTTAACACATGAAATTATTTGACCCATTTTATGCGTTTGGTGCATAAAGACCTCGAGAGTAAACGTTGTCAGCCTGAGTCGGACCGTACATTGACCTCTGACCTCTGGTCGTCCGGAGCCTGAACCTGTGGGTCATACCTGCTGATACCGTCGTTACTCTTGTGTTTGAACCATCGCGAGCGCTTGAACTGCCGTTTGTGTTCTCGGATCTCGTCTTTAAAACAGGTCATCCAAAAATATTTGTATTCAGGGGGAAAACGCGCTCTGCTTGCAAAACTGCCACACTTATGGGGGTGTTATCCACCATTAACACCCACTTCACTCAGAGCCCCAACAATCATTGGTTCCCTGCTGTGGTTCAGGACCAGTACAGCACCTTGGTTTTTCTGGCGTGGCCGTACTACCTGCTGATTATTTCTGAAACGCCGCAACAGCTGAGAGAGTCCAGAAATGCCGGTGTCAAGGTTATGCAGGGGCTATTCTGTCCTCTCTGGCATCTCTCAGCCAGCGTCGCAGGGTTTGTCAGCTCTAATAATAGTGTGGATCAGGTTCAGCAGCCCATCACAATCCCTGTGCTGCTGGGAGGAAGAGGAGGAGGAGCTCCTTCACTCTTTGTCTTTGCTCGGAGACGCTGAGAGTCGCTGAAGCTTTTTGACGATCGTTCGTTTAGAGTCTTTGTTCTTTCGGATTGTTTTTGTCTCCTTCTGTCACTTCGTTGAGTTCCTCCTCGAACTTTTAAAGCTGCTTGTTTTCTTCAAGCACGCCGTCACCTGTTTGAGAAGACTCCGATAGTTTTGGTGCGTTAATCTTCGGTCTGTGACGTCTTCAGGTTTTGTCCTGCAGGTCAGTTTCATCTTGTGCGTGAAGGAGCTTCACTTTCTGTTTTTAATGTTTTTGATGCTGGTTTAGTGTGGTGCTTCCACCCATGGAGCGATACCGCCACTACGGCACCTCCTACACCTCCTCTCCTGGTGCAGCTCATGTAGAGGAGATCCACGCCGAGGAGGAGGTGGAGGAGGTGATGTACACTGAAGAGGAGGTGGAGCCGCTGTTAGAGGATGAAACGCAGCCTCTGCTGCAGGAGACAGGTAGGACTGAGGCATGCATGAGGTTTGGTTCAGTTTAGGTTTGGCTCTCACCTGGTCGGGTTTGGCTCGTTTAGGAGGCGTGAAGCGGGAGGAGGAAGTGACACGTGCACAGAAGGAAGTGCAGCCTGTTGTCCAGGAGACAGGTAGGACAGGCATGGACTGGCCCGGTTTGGAACACTTCTTAGGTCAGAGTTTCGTGTGGTTTCACCTCGTATGGTGTGCAGCATGCTTTTAACACAAACTCGGCTACATCCTGTGGCAGCTTTTCACAATAAAAGCTGCCAAGATGAACCCTGGTGATGCTGTGAAGGCTTGTGGTGATTTTGGTGTGAAGCGAATGTGTCTCAGCATCAGTTTGTTGGCGTTGGTATTCAGATTACACGTCATTGTGTCTAATCCAAAATCTTTTAACATCAGGTTTAGGTTTAAGCAGACTTTTCACCGGAGCAACGCTGTTTCTCTGTAGGCTTCCAGCAGGTACAGTGATAATGTTTTTATAGGAATCGTACAATCGCAGTTGTTGCATCGCCCTGATTTTCAGTTACACTTTGATGAAGGTTACGGTGCAGGGTGGGAGGTCGCTGCGCAGCTGTGGATTGAATTTCCATCCAAAGTGTAAATTCCCAGTAACTCAGACAAAGTACTTGAAACCCAAAGTGACCAAAGTTTGCTTGAGTTTCTCGGGTTTGTGGGACATCAGGTCAGCAGTGATGAGGACGATTTACTGGGTTTACTCGGCTGTAAAGTCCACGTTCCCACCCTGAGAGAGGTGTGTGAGGGTCGTGAGTAAATGTCCATGCCTTACTTGGATACAGGAAGCTGCTGTTTGCTGTGCTGTAGCAGTGCTTGGTTACACAAAGGGGGTTTGTGTCTCCGGCTGGAATTGAACCAGCAATCATTTACTTAAACCCGCAGCAGGGTGTCCCACTGGGGGCGCCGTGGCTGCTTCGATGACTTTGGCTCCGTCCACACTCGCCCGGATACGTTTGAAAATGTCTGAAAGCGCTCCGCGTCCACACTGGCGCTTTCAGTCGTTTTCACAGAGTTGTGCGTCCACATTGAAACAACTGAAGCGCTTACGGTCCAGTCCTGCACATGCGTGAAACACAAGAAGCTTCATTTCTGTCTGCCGTTTATTAGTTTCCGGCTCTTTGTAACGTCGCGTCAGAATGTCGAGGGAAAGCACCGAGTTATTTAAACGGACTCACAATGAGGTGGAGTTGTTGCTGCGAGTAACACAAAAGTACAAAGTTGCAAAAGCGAGTGAGAATGAAAGAATTTGAGGAAAAGCTCTCTGGAGCATCTACAGACTGATATTAATCTTTAATAAGGCTGTCAAACACCTGCTGTATAACGCCCTCCGCTATCTTAGTTTCATTGGTCACATGACTGCATCACATGACTAAAATGTGTCATCGTTTTTGAAAAGGCTCGGGGTTCGCTGTCCACACCGCAATGCGAAAACTGGGTTTTCAAATGTGTCCGCTTTGGAGAACGTTTCCAAAGGTTTCTGCAAACGGCGTCTCAGTGTGGACGGGAGGCCAAAAAGATGCGTTTTCAAACCAAAGCGTATTCGTAGCCTCAGTGTGGACGTAACCTCAGTGTGGACGTAGCCTCAGTGTGGAGGTAGCCTCAGTGTGGACGTAACCTCAGTGTGGACGTAGCCTCAGTGTGGAGGTAGCCTCAGTGTGGAGGTAGCCTCAGTGTGGACGTAGCCTCAGTGTGGACGTAGCCTCAGTGTGGACGTAGCCTCAGTGTGGACGTAGCCTCAGTGTGGACGCAGCCTCAGTGTGGACGTAGCCTCAGTGTGGACGTAGCCTCAGTGTGGACGTAGCCTCAGTGTGGACGTAGCCTCAGTGTGGACGTAACCTCAGTGTGGACGTAACCTTAGTGTGGACGTAGCCTCAGTGTGGACGTCGCCTCAGTGTGGACGTAGCCTCAGTGTGGACGCAGCCTCAGTGTGGACGTAGCCTTAGTGTGGACGTAGCCTCAGTGCGGACGTAGCCTCAGTGTGGACGTAGCCTTAGTGTGGACGTAGCCTCAGTGCGGACGTAGCCTCAGTGTGGACGTAGCCTCAGTGTGGACGCAGCCTCAGTGCGGACGTAGCCTCAGTGTGGACGCAGCCTTAGATAACCGTAACCTTTGCTCTTTAAACTCTAAAGCTAGTTCTTCGTCCTGGTGTCTGAACCAGGTGAAACTCACAGCACCTTAGCTGTGACCCACAAACACTGCCGGGTGTTTATCAGCCACATCAGGACCGAGGTGATGCTTTTTCCATCACTGCTGTCATTACGTGCTGCTTTCTACAGTCTTTAGTGCTTTTAGAGACACTTGAGGTGTTTTAACCGCACACGTGTTGAACGCAGCCTCGGGCTATTTCAGGAGTGCTCTTAGTGACATTTTCACGCAGTGCAAAAGCAGACAGCTGTTCTTTATCTGCAGCCTGTTCAGTCCTGAAACAGCTGTTGTCATCTCTCTCTCTGTCGGGGTCATATTGACTCGGTGTCTCTCGCTCTATTCCTGGGTCGGGTTGTCCTTTGTGGAGCCATGTTGCCCCTCTCTCTGTTCCCTCTTTGTTTTTCCTGGACGTTCAGACTTTCACCAGAAGTTTTCCTTCAGCCGACACTCCGACCTACAGTTTAATCACGTCATAGCGCTCTCCGCCTGTACTTCCTGTCTCGCTCTCCCACTCGGTCTCCTTGTTTTCCCAAAGCACTTAAAATAGTACGACAATGTGCCAAATCTGTCCTGAGGAAAACCAGCTGGAAACATGACGCTGAGTCTGAACCTTAGTCACTAAAGAGGGCTTAAATCTGATCGCCCAGCTTCAGCCTGCTGCTGTTTGCTGATGTCATAACACATTAATATGCTTGATTACCTGTGCAGGTGAGCAAGACTGGTGCACAGATACTGGTGCACATGTGTGTGCATGTTCCTTATTTTCTGGTCGTTTTGTAAATAAAAAAATATTTTTCTCTGTTTGCTGTTTTAATTTCATAAATAAATGTTTTCAGTGTTTTTGAGCCTCGTAACCTCAGGAGTGCAGGACACGTCCACACGATAAAGCTGCCGTCAGGTTTGACGCCTGCTCCAGTCATTGCATTTTGTTTGGCGATCAATCAGCACCAGCGTTGTTCTCCAGCTCGTGCTGTGACGATGAAAGTTTGCATACATTTTGTGAAATACACAAAACTTATTGCACGAGAACATTTTTATTTTCAGTGGTGCAGATTTGAACCTGCGCGCTCTCGTCCTCTCTGCGACGGTTTGAAATAAAGACGTGGCCCCGATGCTCAGATTTCACTTCATTCTTCAACAACAAAGCTCTGTGCTGTGTGATCTTGTCTGTCTGTGGGTGACACCGAGTTTGTTGCTATCAGCACGTTAACTGCTGATCTAAATCTGGCAGCAGGCGCGATCGTGCCTCAGTTGACACGTTCAAAGAAGAAATAAATGTTACTCAAACTGGCTTTGGTATTAACATCAGCTTTTCACACCTGCAGAGGGGAAGACGGTGCCGGTGGAGAGCAAAAATGGAAAGAGGACAGAGGGAGGAGGCGGAGGAGATGCAGGTGGAGGCCCAAAGTACTCCGTGTTCACCTGGTTTGTGGTCCTGGGTCTGCTGGGAGTCTGGAGCTCTGTGGCCGTGGTCTACTTCGACATCGTGGACTACGACACCGTGATCGGTGAGTTGGAGGGCGGGCGTGATAACATGGTGTAATTTAATGGAAGCAGACGCATGATTGATTCAGTGCCCAATTTCCTGAAGCTTTTATTTTGAAGGGGTGCAGACTTTGAACAGCTAAAAGCAGTGAGGGATTGTTTTCTGGCAGAAGAGAGAAGTGGCTAACATGCGTCGATGTGGTTGTTTTGCAGAAGTAAAGCAGACATTCAGCATTTCATAAACCTCATCTTAATCTTCCTCCTGAATGAAGATGACATGCAGATTATCCTGTGATTATAAAAGTGAGCTCGGGTGAATTGCTCAACCTGTGGGGGCCCCACACGTTGCTTCAGTCAGCAAACATCTCACCAAGCAGCAGGCCGTGTTTAGTAACAGCACTGCACGCTGGTCACATGCAGTGAAAGTGGGATGTGTGATAATCTGTTCAAACATCGAACTGAGGCAGCGCCTGGAGGTTCAGACGGTCCAACTAGTGTGGCCGTTTCCCGGCTGTTACAGTTTAATATCCACAAAGAGGAGGAAGAGGAAGTTCACATAAAATGAGATCGTCTTTGTTTACACACCGTTTCTGATAAAACGACTCAAAATTCCAAAACGCTTTGTCGACACGATGATGTCGTGATGCTTCTAAAGATGACAATGAGGAAGCAGATTCTGTGATCATGAGAAAGCTGGCTTTTCAGGTTGTAGGCACCCAGTGAATGACCCAGGGCGGACTCAAACCCAGGCCACCGTCGATGGGTCACCTGATCACTCCAGAGCGCTAAAGCAGCTCTCAGATCAGTTTCCTGCGCGTGAAAGACGGCCTCCTGCCATCTTCAGGCTCTGCGTTTCAGACCACTCCTGTTCTTCTCGATCCGATGCTTTGATAACAGACTTACTGAAAGTTTTGATGTCAGCTTGATAAACACCTTATCTTTTGTCTGATCTTTCACTTTCCCGCCTCTTTGCTGAGCTGCAGCACCACCTCGTCGCTGTTGCTTCATAAGTTTTCACAAATTTGCTCCCAAACTATAAAAAAATATTTACGAGTTAAGTAATTTAACTGTGGTCGGTACAGACGACCCAACATGTCTTTACTGACCCTGGACCATCATTTATCCTGACGCAGAGTTACCTGACCAATCACAGTGCTGTCCACTGATCGGGTTTATTCTCAGCTGTGGGCTCTCCACAGTGGATCATGTCACGGTTACATCTAAATGTTACAAGACGACGATCCTTGGCAGTCTTTCTCT